CTTTGAAACAAATACAAGCTGCTCAATTGCCAAGAATCTCCAAGATTCATCATTTTCCACACTTGACCTTGTTGTTGTACCATTAAACAAGCRTCACATTGAGCATTGGTCTCTCCTTGTTGTACTTCCAAAGATGAAGATTGCTGCTATTTTAGATAGCAATTCTACTGACTTTGTCAAGCCATTATCTCAAAATGCACTTGACAAGATGAGTAATGTCCTGGAAGAGTTGGACTGTAATGTTCAAGAGTGGAGCTTTATGTGTAACACTAAAGCTGAAATACCCCAGCAGAGCAATGATTATGACTGTGGTGTGTTTATATGTTTATATGCTAGATGCTTAGCAGGCCTAGGTCCATTGGTTCAGGAATCTTCCTTCCGTAACTTCAGGCTGGGAATGGTATACAATCTCCAGAGGAGGATGCTACTCAAGATTCCTGAGTCAGATATCATGGTAGAGAAGTACTATGCTGTTGACTATCTGACCAACTACTACATTGGCAGGGCAATCAGCATTGAAAACCAGATGGTGAAGTTCAAGTACCTTTACAGAGTCGGAGCTGACAGATTTGATTGGCCTAGAAGAGATGATATYAACACCAAGCATATCTCCTCAGTGTTTTTTGGTCCCATTTCTCTTGAGAGTACAGGGCCTTTTGCTGTCCCAATGCAACAGGACATCGAGAAAATCTTCAAGTCCATCAAATAGTGATACTGACAGTTTTTTAAAGGATGTAGATTCCCAGATTCTCATGTTCCATTCTAGATATTCAAAAAAGTTATTGCATATTAAGTTGCAAATTGTAATTGATTGTATGAACATTCATATTTTATATGAAATGTGTGATGGCTATGATTATGCCTACATTTGATTTATTGATGAAAGGGCTCATTATTTGCTTGATTACTATGTGTACATGTATATTTTTATCTTGATCCCTGTCCAAGTTCAGGCTTTAGAGTTGATTTTACATGTAATTTTGAAATCACTATTAGTTCAGGAAGGTTGTGATATAAAGACAATTATGCACAGATTCAGTCTCAAGACTGTAAATTTTGAACAAGAAATAAAAAGACATTTGAATTTTGTGAAGTATGTAATATGTGAATAGTGTAATGTCCACAACGTAATGTCCACAACAAACTTCAGATCAAAATATCTTAATAACTAAAAGCAATATAGAAATAGTTCAAACTAGAAAATAATCCTTTTGTCAAGCTAAAAGAGCATCATAAATATCATTTTAATGTAACTGTTAGTTTTACCAGAAATTAAACTTAAAGGTCCAAACGTTGTGGACATTACGTAATGTCCACAACAGAAATTCAAACCTTGATTTTTAAGAGGGGAAAAAGGATTTTTGCTAGTTTTTCTTACCACATTAAAGGTAGAAGGGATGCTCATATTCTGATATCAAAATACAATAATATTTCCTTTATACATGCATTCTCTTGCCTATTAAAAATTTTCTTGCTGAAATATCCAAATTTAAGGGTTTGGTGGAACATGAATTTTGATACCCGTTTGCCGCATGGGCGTGGTCAGAACTTACAATGTTTCATAAAATTCAAACAATATGGTTATTAAGCTTTCAAATTATATTAGATTTCACAAGATATTTGTCATATTTAAAAATAGCTTTTTCCAATGTCTCATGTGGAATTGCCCTATAACTTTCCTTCATTTCTATATCATGTTTCGGCTCATAGTGTAATGCGGTCCTCACATTCATATCTTTACATTCTAATTACTACAATGTAAGATCTATTTCACCCCGAATTGCTCCCAGTCTGGCCTTGTAGTATAGCTCAGCTGTTAGATCATCGGTAGTATACAAATCCGAGGCTCGTGTGTTCGAATCAGCAAGGTCGGAAATTAATTTTTTCCGAAATTATTTCGAAGAGTCTTTCATCTGGAATTACCCCCTTCTAAGCACTATAACTTTCCTTCATTTCGATATTGAGAAGAGAAGTCGGCATCAGGCCTCCTATGGCGA